ATAATCTTCAGAATTAGCATTTTGTGCCTTGCAGTACCTTTGGGAGAAGAGCTTTTATTTGTGGAGTGATCATTATTATAACAAAGAAGAGCTACCTAATAATTTCCACTTTAACTCTGCAATATGCCACGAGCATTTCTGAACCATTATGCTAAACTGTGGCGGGGTAATCATTTTATTGTCACAGTTTGAAGGAAGAAAAATCCCCTGTATATCAGTAGCTAGGGGAGTACGGGAACACAGGAACACACTGACACACGCAGCACACGACGAAAAACTTTTCCTTTTTGCTACCTGTGTGCTGAAGTTGGTGCCTACCATCCTTTGTATGGAAGGTGATAAGATTTTAACAATGTGTATATTCTGAAAGAAGATGAAGATTTCAAAAAACATTGTTTCCCTTGAAAGTCATTAAGGTTTTTGCTCATAAATCCTTAAAATTTAATGATAGAGACCTTAGCTTTGAAGTCAGTGGCAAAATTCCCTTTGGCTTCAATAAATTTGGGATTGCAGTGCCTCTCTCTAACACCTATATCTGTTAACTCAAACCGCCGGAGCAGCACAATGAAACATGTCAGATGTTAGCACTGATTTGCCTTGATATTATGCAAAGAAGGAGAGCAGCTCATTAAGACTTATAACCGTTGGGCCATTTCAGCAGGTGGAGGATATGGCCACATCACCTTCAGCAAGGAGCTGCAAGGTCCGTGCCTGCAGTTGGAGGGGTAATATTTAGTTTTTCCTCAGTCCAATGACTGTTCTGAGAACGTGCAGCAAATGTAATACACTCATGCCAGAGTCTTCAAATCTTATTTGATTGTTAGGCTACCAAACTCTTTCAGTTTTGGTTGTAGTTGGCTGCCAGCTGTTCATTTAAAAAAACCCCTTGTTTATATGTATAAGAATGTGTTGTTATTCTTTTTCATTATCATTCTTCTCTGGACTTAAAGTCCATTCATATTGTTAAGCATGTACACTTCATTGCCTTTACTAGAACTGGTCTACAGTCCTTTACTGCATTTTTTTATCAGTGATGTTTCAGACTTCAACTAAAATAAAATCTCTTTTTCTGCAGAAAAAACATAAATTTTTAATATTTGTTTTAAAAACACCATTTTAGAAATGATGCTTTGGTGTTACAGAAGGACATGTAAAGTGGTAATATTTTGAAACAAAGTATTTTGTTTTTCTTGGAAATATTAAAAAGTGTTATAGTTAATTCCAGATAGAGATTCTGGAAGTTTGCATTCTGCAAAAAAGTGTTCTGTACTTTGGTTTCTCTTGTGACCAAAACAAAATGTAGAAAAATCAAGGTCTCCAATGAAAAGATTATTCTGCCCAGCTCTGTTTTTCTGGGGTTGCACAGAAGTAAACACCTTCCAGACAGCTCTTTGAAAGTTGCCAAATGATTAACAAGAGAAATATGAAGAGCTTGAGGGCCTGAGCTGGCCAGACATTTGTACCAGGGGCATAAATAGAGCTGAGGTCATCGCCTCGCCCCCCTCCCAGCATTACCTGTGGTGACGCTGGCAAACGGGACCCGATTCTTCCATGCTCCTTCCTGGTGCTCCAAGGAAAGAGCCTGGAAAGGGCAAAGTTTTAGTAAGACCAGTGTCCCAAATGACACTGCCTGTTGCAATATGTCATTGTATAAACATGTTTTGTGCCTTCAAAAACAGGTAGCAGTCTGGATGCCTCCCTTGGCACGTCTCCTCGGGCTTTTTCGGGGTGCAGCCCTTCAGCGCAGCTTCCCTTGGGGGCAGCGCCTTTGTGCAGCCCTTTCAGTCTTTACAGACACTTGCATTTTAAGATAAGAGAAGCTCCGTGGGGAAAGTTGGGAAGTCCCATTGGTTTTTGTGACTGATCCCAAAGGAAAATAATGCTCTGAAGTCTTCCGGGAACGCACGGCGCTTTTGCTGCTTCTCGGGTAGTGCCTGCAAAGGGTACCAACCCGCCCTGCTTATTAAACCACCAAGTCCTGACTTTTCCTCCTCCTCGGAGATGTCCTGGGCTATTGCCAGCAGTTTCGGTGAGGCACTGATTCAGCACAATTGCTACATATTTAAATAAAATTACACGTGCGAGCGGTCGCATTGACTTTGCGGGTGAGAGTGTCCCAGTGAACAACCTACAGCCCAGTGCAGCGCAAGGACCCAAGCGTCTGCTCAAAGTCCCCTTGGCTGCCGTGGGACTTGGCTTATATTTGATATTAAGCACATGCATGTGTAAAGCGTTAGAATCAAATACATGAGGCAGCACAGACAGCGCAGCACCTTGCACTTCTGAGTGCAATGTAGGTGCCGCAAAGAATATCACAAGATAAATAGCAAGACCTTTAGTGGGGACCTGTAACTGCAGAACAGTATCTTGCATTCATTTTAAAGATGAATTGAATCTATAATTTTGAAGCCTGCATATGTTTTCTGTTAATGGCTTATGGTCTCAAACAGTTTTTATTCACTGGTATTTAGGAAAAAAATGTTGCTTGTAGTCTTTAAGAAAAGTAGCTCATTCTCTGACACATGGGAAACTGATTATCTTTGAGTTTTATTGGGGGGGGAGGGGATGTCCACAATCAACTGGAAATACTGGAAAGGGTGTAATTTGGAAGTGATTTTAATTTTTATTTATGAAAAAGTTCAATTCCGTGAAAGGGCTAGATGGCATTTTGAAAAGCTGCTTTCCCTGTAAATCCATTGCTGTGAGCTCAGCTGAAAGGAAAGCATTTGGTTTTGGACTTTGCAATGGTTTTTATGCAGTTTTATGCAAGTAACTTGAATCCAAATTAAACATACTGAAGTTACTTCTGTGTGTGCGCTACATTTTCGTGACGGTAATGTTAGGATGTTTCTTTTGTTAGCTCATGTAAAAGTTAACGGCTGTGCTCTGCCAAGTTTGGAGTAGGGTAATGATTTTTTTCTGCCTGTGTGTGTTTGTGTTTTTCACTGGAGCTGGCATCCCCATCAGCTTAAGTAGTGGAAAAGTTTGTGCCTGACACTTACAACCTTTTGTAGGTAGGGACAGGGTCTGTTTGCTCCCCATGCATGTGTTCCATCACTGGTGGTGCGAGTCTGTAGCAGTGCCCACAGAAACACTCATTGCTAAGGGTGACTCAACAGCTCCCTTCCCAGCTCCCTTCCCAGCTCCCTTCCCAGCTCCCTTCCCAGCTCCCTCCCGCTTCCCAGCTCCACACCAGCTTGCCCTGCCCAGGGGCTGGGAGGAAGGAGCTTCTTACCAGCCTCACCACTCTTGCAATTAGCTCCAACCCACCAGAACTTCACTAGATAAAGAGGCACAGGGCCTCTTTAGCACTTAGTCTGGAGCATTTTAAAGTAGGCTTCTGTGAATGAATTAATTTACTGTTCTTACAATTAGAAGAATGTAGGGCAGGGGCTGTGCCACTATACAGCCACATTAAAGAATTCACGGGTGCAAGAGTGTTGTCCTGCATGGTGCTAACATGTGGCAGGCTTTCACACCCCAATCTTCCTAGTAGATCCTGACCTGATGAAGTGCCTGAGGGCTCTCCCTTGAATGCCTCATCAAATACTCAAAGTTACAGACCAAATTAACAGCTCAGCCAGCCTTTCAACCAAGTAGCAATTCAGAGGCAAATGCCAGCAACCCTGAAAGAAGAGCTATATATGCAGATACATATACATACAGATATATATATGCAGCTAATGAAGTCCTGGTGATTGACATTGCAGAATCAGTGTGGGCAATAGCAGCCCTTCATGTGTTTTCAGTGGAGCCAGCCTCTTCTCTCTGCTGAGGACCAGATTCATATCTAAAGGAAGGAATCTTTCTTTTCAACATTGAGGTTGATTGGTGGAGTTTTGCTCCTCCTTAAGGAATCTGTTTTTCACGGCTAATGAAATTGTTGAGGTACCCACTTTACTTAAAATGTTATCTAACGGTATGGTGTCATATTTTCACCTCATGCTGTGTTAGCAAGGAGAAGTTGGTGGCATTTGGGATGGAGTTGCTTCTTTTCATCAACCTATATGACCACCCTCAGACTCCACAGCTGAGAGTCACCTAAGGCTTTTTGTCTTATTCAGGTTATTTTTACAGTAATGTTATTCCTGTTGCTTCAGCACAGTTAAATTCTGATGTACGCCAGTACTGCAGAGAAGGAGAATCAGTATGTGGATGTTTATATTGCCCTCTCCCACCAATATATATGTTGAGCATGCTTCTGCTTAGATAGTCTTAAACCAGAAGATCTTACACCAAGATTTGAGCTTACTACTTTGAGCAGTGCTTGAGTTTTCGACATCCTCTCAGGAGGCACTTTAGTACATATGATGCCAAGAAAGTGGCTAGTGAAAGCGGTGACAGACTCTACGAATATGGCAGAATGCATTGTACACACTTCTGAATTATCCGGTAGATGCAATGTAACTGGAATGACTACATGACAGGGTTGTAGGCTTGGGGTTTGGTTTTTTTTTTTTGTAGTAGCCAAAGCATTAAGCAGGGCAGGGTGGCTTAATACTAGAACAACCTGGATCTGATTGCAGAATAATTAAAGAAATGCTGAGGTTACACCCTTTTTTATTTAGCCAATATTTTCCACAATATTTGTAGGAGTTTCCTTGATGAATTTAGGTTATGATGGATCATAAAGCAAGCTCACTGGAGATTGTTTTATTAACTCAGGTATTGCACGTTTCATATAGAATAAAGATTTTATTCTGATTTCCAATTGGTCTCTGCCCATCATGCTGTGATTTTTTTGTTCAAGCAGGCTTAAAAAAGTTAATTTTTTTAATGCAGATAACAAAACCAAACAGAAATTAATTGAGAAAAAATGCTTCCAAAGATATAGGTTGAGGTCATGCACATGTACTAGAAAGACAGTGATTGCTGAAATCTTTGTGTTAGTAAGGGGGGAAATGAAAGCTCCTTTTATTTTATTTTTCTCAAGTCTTCTATCATTAAAATCTGGTTCTAACAGCAGAATACTTCTCTTTTTCATGTGTGTTGAAAAGCAGCTACACCATGTATCAAAGCCATCAGTCCAAGTGAAGGATGGACTACAGGAGGTGCCACTGTCATCATCATAGGAGACAATTTCTTTGATGGGTTACAGGTCATATTCGGCACCATGCTGGTTTGGAGTGAGGTAGGTGTTGTCTGAACGGTAATGTCTAATAGCTTTGTCTAGCTTATAGCTAGTCTGTCCTTTTTCTATGCCACATGCTAAATCAGCAACAAATGTTGAGATGAGAATCCTTTCCTCATTCAGTTTTATGAAAATAATTAGTCAAATTTACCTGTGGCAGAAATCCATTGTAGCCAGGGGATTTGCATCTCCGCTCACTGGCCCAGAATTTAGCTCAGTGCCTTTTATTCCAAGAAAAGGGATGGATAAATGCCTGTGTGAATAATTCTGCATTTAGCACTACAATAGCTAAGGGCCCACAGGAAACAGACGTTTAGGTGATCCTGTTTTCCAGGGAAATGGGCTGCTTGTAGCTGCAGCTCAGTGAGGTGGAGATTGCAGAAATTCAGTGCCTCTGAATAGCCTATCCTTAAAGTGGAGGCGCTTGGTGTAAGTACCATCTGCATGATAGCAACCACATACACAGTATTGTACCCACAGTGGAAAATACAGACTCGTCATACCTAGCGAGGGCCTCTGTAGTTTCACAGTAACCCTTTTTTTGCTTCTTATCCATTTTTTGCTCTTGCTGTTCCTCCCAGTTTCTTAAATCCTCCTGGCACATATTCCCCAAAAGTCCGTGGAAAGTTAAAACCCAGGCAGCATCACCCGAATGGCCACTTCCAGTGCGCAGGGCTATAGAAGTCGGGGCAGAGCTCCCACTGGCTTCACTGGCACGGGAAGGCGGCTCCAAAGAGAGGTTTACATTTTGCTTTTATGACTTTTCAAAAGCATTTTGGAGGTTTTATAAAAAATTGTTATTTTCATTACTTTAATGCTGAAATGTACACGCTAACAGACAACCCAGCATCTCTGAAATAGCTATACAATGCTTACCCAGTGTGGTAAGGATCTTCTGATGTTTTGCCTTATATCCTATAAATATTAAATCAACATTATAGCTTAATTCATATCCAGCACATTCCCCCTACTGATTCCATTGCACATATGGCAGCATTTTTTCCATGTGAAGAGTATCCTCTAATGTCCTTCATGGGCTCCACTATTCTCTCTCCCTCTCTCTCATCCTTCCACTTGAGGACAAGTGTGGATGAAAGGGCATTCCAGAAAAGGAGATATATTAAATAAGCCCTATTCTGAAGCCCTTATGTGATCATGAAAGTGCCCCCTGGGTCCGGTGTAAGCACTTTGTGTGTTAGGATTGAAGCCATTATGGCTACAGACATTTAACAGGGAAAGGTGAAGAGGCTGGGAGGAAAGTGCTCTGATTTTGGTAGTGCAGAATTGGATCTTTCATTATAAAGCTTGATTCTATTTATTAGTGGAAGCCATTAATTGGCAATTTCTAATCTCAGGAGAGTGAGTGCTGGTCAAAACATTGTTGCTGGTGGTTGCAAGGCCTTGTCATAAAATGAATAATGTTAGAGGGGGTCCAGACCAAAGTCAGTCTGTTTGTTGTGAATGCTATAACGGGCTGCAAGTTGGCTTTGACTGAAGACTGTTTCACTGACTCTCCCTTACAGAATTGCTTCTCAGTTGCATAACCTCTGAGAGGAATAGAAAATCCTACAGGGGAAAAGAAATGATTTCTAAAAGAAGCAGACAGACATGATAAACAAGTGTAGAAACGCGTGAACTGTCTGAGTGATCCCTAAATAATAGTGATCTATAAATAATTCAAATTATACGTACTAGCCGCATATGAAGTACAAAATAAGTTCTTTCATTTGCCTTCCCATTTCTAAAAATGTCTAGTGCATTTTCAGTACCCAGGAAGAATATTTTTGTTTTACTTTAATAGAGTGTAGAATTGAACTGTCGATCTTCAAACCTGGAGCAGGTTCACCCTGAGTTGCCAGTCAGGCCCAGTTTTGAGCAAACCTGGCCAGGTTATGTTGCCATTGAATTAAAGAAGAATTTTCAAGTTCATCTTGTTGCTTCATGGATCCAAAGAAAACATGATTTTAACTGAGCTGTAGAAAATCCAAAACAAAACTAGATAGGTGGAAGCTAAAGAAAAAGAGGGAGTCTTGCAGAGCATTTTCACATGGATTTTTCTAGCTTCACTTTCAGTTGCAATTGCAGGTGGTTTGGGTCGTGAAGTCTAATATTTAAATTAAGCATCATTTTGCCACAGACTTTGCATGGGACCTTGGGCAAATCACATAATCTGCTTAAAGTTCAATTCCCTTTCTCTAACATAGTAATAAGATTAGTCACCTTCTTTGGAGAGGTGCTGTGAAGATAATTATCGTAAAGGTCCTATATTACTCAGATTTTATTATGGCAAAATCCATGTAAGTACCTGAGATGCATGGATATTTAAAATATAAATCCTACCATGGTTCAGAAGCAAAGTTAAAAGCCAAAAATAAAATTTGTTCATTTTAAGGGTGAATTTGTTGCTGTCAAGCAACATATGTTATAAATAATTTGAAAAGTAAATAATATATTTTTAATTTATTTTACATGTATTCAAGTTTTGTAATTGAAATATTTATATGCTTGAAATGGAGTTGACTGTGTTAAAAAAGGAGGTTTAAAATGGTTTCTGAAACACATATTTATTATTTAAACATATATTTTAGCTGTAAACACTCTAACATAATTACAACCTTTCTCAGCCAGGGAGAACTAAATAAAAACTTAATTTGTCACATTAATTTTCTGCAGAAATGCAGATACCCTAAGCCAGTAGGTTCAATTAATCCTTAACTCCCATATTACTTTATAAAAATGACTTTAAAAGCCCTTGATATTTTTAGAATACAGCAAAATGGACCATCTAATGCCTTTTTTTTCAAGGAACTTTCATAACCGACAAACAAATGGCATTGGTATAGCGTGTGCACATGCTGAATCTGGAGAGACAACTCCCAGCAAATAGTCTGTTTGCCAGATAGACTCTGCCTTTCTGTTTGTCCCGTCCACAAACAGACGGAGTTGTTATTTACAGGTTTTTACCCAGCGTTCTCTGTCTGTGTGTTGTTGCAAGTATTCAAAATCTGGGCTGCTGATAAAAATCCTCTTTTGTTTCTCTCTCTTATTGGGGGGCTGAAACTCTGAGAGTCAAGTTTCAGGGCAAATACACGATTGTGAGGACAAAATTAGTTTCTTATAAATATTCCACAATATTTGCTTAAAAAGAACTATTTCTTCAAACATTTTCCTGCCAAGAACATTCCTCCAGCTGTACAGAGTCAGCTGGAAACAACTTCTTTTTCTTTTATATTAAGAAAAGATGAAGCACTGAAATATCAGTTCTTTTACCTTTGTACACCACAAAAACAGAGGATGATTTTTTGATTTAGCTTTTTTGTTTTGGTTTTTGTTTTTTGGGTTTTTTTTAATGCTGCTGAATCAAATTCTGTGACACAGTTTTTTATTTTGCTTTTCATGTTTATTATTGATTTTGGAAGTCTCTGTTTTTCGGTGCTTATTTTGGAGGACTGACTCATTTTTAAAAAATGAGTAGGCACCTTCTTTTTGAAAGCCAAGGCTTATTAAGCAGCATTTGGATGCCCAGAATTGAGGCATACAAAGACACTGGTCATTTTTAAAAATATAGGTGTCTTAAGGCTCCTGTTCTCACTGAAAGCTGTCATTACCTTCAGCTGGTAGGATTTTTCTTCATTCCTGTCCTAAGGGTCCTCTTCATACAGAGTCCAAGTTAAATTTATGACTGATTGTCACCATTTCCCTAACCACAAACCAGAGCTCAAGCATGCAAAAATAAACTAGTGACTCAGATTAATGACATCTCCTTATAAAATGTCACTTTAAAAAAAAGAAAGTAACCTGGCACTCTGAAGAGTGTGAAATGATGCTGTATCACACAAGAATGTCTAGAATATATTAGCAAACCACAGAAAGAGGCTTGTTGTACACACTCAACCCAAATGTGTTTTGGATTTTGAAGGACACGCACCTCCCTCCATTCTGAAGGTCTCTAACTCAGGTTTTAATGCAATCCACAGCATGTCCCAACTGACATGTAAGAGTTTATATCAAACAGCTAGTGCAGTTGCCAAGTATCAGACCAATTCACTTGAAAATCCCTTGGGAGAAAACATCCAGTTACTAGTCCAGCTCCAGATCTCAATTAGCCAAATGCTGGAATGGAAGAGGAAACTGGGTCTGGGATTTTGGCTGGTGGCTTCATCTCCAAATCACAGGTTAATGCCTTGCTTGAGATTTACATTTAAAGTGTGCGTTCAGAAATGTACGTAACTCATATGCACAAATTCTAGTTCTTGGCATGTCATTGCTACGGTTGTTATGGTAATGCACCAAGAGTTCCCACCTGAGATTAGAACATAGAAATGGCCATATGGGGTCAGCCGTGGAGGTCTGTCTAGCTCAGTATCTTGTGTTTGGTGCGGGGCAATGACAGATGCCTATAAAAACACTGTGAGCATGTAGTGATGCTTCCCCAGAACACTCCACCAGTCTTCAGTTTGGGGCTCAGAGGCTTCCACAAGTAGTGTCTTTACTTTTAATAGCCCTTGATGCTAATAGCTCTCCTTTTCCAGATGCCTTATGTGCAAGTATGAGACAGACTGTGCCTTGAAGAAGGTACAGGCCATGTCAGTGTGAGAGGAGAAAATACGCTAGGAAAAGGTGGAGTGGATTCCCAAGGTCAGGCCACAGGTTGACAGTGTAGACAGGAAAACATCCTGTAATCCTGGAGTTATTGAAGTCAGGGGCAGATTTGCTCTTGCCGCGGGTGGGCCTGGAGTACCCTGACTTGTGCAGCATCCATCGGGTCATTCGGCTTGCAAAACGGAATTAGGGCAATTTAGAAAGCTGGTGCCAGTCCATAATGCAGATCCTGGCAGTACTAGGGGATCAGAATTTGAGACCAAAGGTGAGGTTCAGAGGGCAGGTTTGGGAGTGCGGTGACATTGTTTGTCCCTTAAAGACAATTTCTTGATATGACAGCAATATAGGGGACTACTGGTATGTAACTGAGCTAGCCAGTTCCTTTCTGTGTGCATGAGATCCGAAGGCTGACCCACAACAACGGTCTCTCTAGCTCAGGAGAAAAAGCAAAAGGAAAAGGCACGTGTATTCTCCTGGTATACCTCCCAAGCTTTAGTTCTAGAGAAGAGAGGAGTAAAATATATCCTGAGTATCCTAAACCATAGGACTTCAGACATAATGTTCACCCTTGGGGAATGTGTGGGCGACATTATTGTATATTTGTGGTTTTAAACACAGTTAAACTTATTTACTTCAGAGCACAAAGGAAAACCAAACTGTTTGTGGAGAACAAACCAGGAAACTTGCTTAACTCTCCCCAGCTCTCTGTAACAATGGACCATAAATAGGTCAGACATTTCTTGGGAACCAGGGAAGATGAGTATTGGAAAATGCCACAAATTATGTTTAAAGAACATTAAAGTGGTGACAGACCAGTAAATGCTGGGAAATTCAAAGATACAACCAGAAGCTGCCTGTATAGCTCATGCCAGAATGGGGGTGAGGGGTGCAAGGCACACGCTGACGTAGTAAGACTAACATGTTAACCTTTACTATTAAAATCCTTGGCTATTTTTACAAATATTTTCCCCCTAAAAATGTTAGGAAACTTCTCTCATCTTGCCAGTTCACCCGGTTAACTAGAACCACTTGAGGATGGGATTTATCTCAGCTATGTTTGGCTGTCTACAGTTTAGCATCTAGTCTAAACTTGTCATCTCGACTCATTGGAGAAAGGTAGATGTTTCCAGAGAGCAGCTCATCCCAACATGAGAGGTGTCTAAAGCACTGGAAATAAATTGCTATTTGGCAGTGCTTTCTGCCTCCGCTGACTGTTGAGGGCATGTAGAGAATTGGCCTAGTTGGCTTTGGTCAGCCCAATTGTAAAACAACTCAATTTAAGTAAAAGCAATCCTTGGAAGTTTGGGGTTTTGTTTTGGTTTGGGTTTTGGTGGTTTTTTTTTAACCCAGTTGATAGAGTAATTCAGAAAAAAGGCAGGTTTCTTTTAAAAATAAGTAAGTTTCTAAATCACATGATTTCAAAGCAGAACCTGAAAACATATTCTTTGGAGCTTACAAACAATAAGGCATCAATTCCTACATGATCATTTCTAAAATGACATACGACTTACGACTTCTGTGGATCTGAATAACTTTTGAAGCATTTGATGCTGGTAGTTTTGGTTTTAATCTTCAACTTGACTTAATTTTAATTTTCTTATTGTAAATATGGAGAACTTCCTACTGTGTATGCCATTTCCCTCAGTAACACAGATGGCTCTCAGACAGACATTACTCTCCTTCTGTGCTTTTTTAGTCCTGTGCCCTAAACAAAGAACTGGTTAAAAGTCTGATTTTTTGGTAGGGCCTTAATACATTTTGAAATATTTGGTTCCTAGTAAAAATAAGAATAAAATCAGCTTTTTATTAAAAAAAAAGCAAACCCCCTATTGAAATGTATTCCCTAATCCAGGACACGATTCAACCAACAGCACAGAGCAGTTCACTGTCTGTGTAGGGTGCCCATGGCTTTGCTCACTGTCAAAGCTGGTTATGGTCTTGGTCTTGTTTGCCTCTCCAGAAGTGTGTTAGTGTGCCACGGTCAGTTGGAGAAGGATTATCCACGTGCCAGAGCTGTATCTTGGTTGCTGGACACAATCACGTCACCTTTTCTATGTACCTCTTTTTACTCTTCTTGTCTGAGGGAGCATAATGAGTGAGAAGAGGATGTTTCAGTGATGGGGAGGACAATGCTGTTGTTTCTGAGTGCAACAGAGATTTAAGTTAACCTGCCATAAATTAGTGAACTCCTAGATGGCTCTAATATTAATTTCGGGGACTATGTTTTAAATCCAGTCCAGAACCCTGAAAGAGCAAAAATGGTCTAGACCCTGGAAAGCGCAGCACTGACCCACCCCAATCTTTTGTGTAAAGATCCCCAGCCCCATTAGCAAGAAAGTTAAGTTTGTCTACTTATTACTGTGCAAATCCACATCTGCAGGAGCACTCTCAGATGTGTGTCGGTCATTGCAGTGAAGGCAGACTGGAAGCGATGGTTAGATGGTTATATCTGGTATATCTCTTTTGAGTGCTCTGCTCATGTGCAAGGAAAGATCTGGCATCCTTCAGAAGCCAAACTTTGCATTTCTGCAGTAATCAGTCATACCTCCACAAAATGAATAGAAAATTAAAACAGCAGTACATGGTGCTTTTGCAGCGTACAGATGTCAGCTGGGGACCAGCGCATTTAAAAGCCTGCCTGGGCTTGTGCTGTGCAGCGAATCTCAGCCTGGGCTTGCGCTGTGCTGTGTTCACACATGTAACTGAGTATCATTTATCAATCAGATTTGTTGGACACTGTCATGACCCCAGTGTTCACCTCAGCAAACATAGGCATCGTGCTGCTGTAAGCTAAAGTTATTGCATTAAACCAGGGCTCATGCTTGTACTAGCAAGCAAGTGCCTGCCATGTATGAAAACAGAAATAATGTTGTTACGGCTGAGAGGGAGAATGCTTGTAAATATTGTAGTCACTGGCTTTTGTGTGGGTTACATCAAGATTGTATTCAAACATTGACAAGTTAATTACATGTTTCAAAGCTTGTTTACTGTGATCTGAGAGGAAAGTGTTACTAAAGAAGTGTTCAGCATCTAACAGTGCTTTTTTCCCTTTCTTCTCCCTTCTCAATGTTTTCCTCTAGCTGATTACTCCTCACGCTATCCGCGTACAGACGCCTCCCCGACATATCCCAGGGGTTGTAGAAGTCACATTGTCCTACAAGTCTAAGCAGTTTTGCAAGGGAACGCCTGGAAGATTCATTTACACAGGTAAGGATGCTTTAGAACTAGATATAACGTGGAGAAATAGGGCAGGCAATATATCACACTTGCTAGGGCTTCTGCTTTCGTTGTTAAAAGCTGTACTGCATTTTATTATTTTGGCTGAGCACATCATTGAAGGTACCAATTTAAGGTTGGATTTCAGAAATGGATGACCGTAGAGATGACTCTGAAAACATACCAGTGTGGGATTTTTGTTTGATTGTTTGTCCTCGCAATGGGACATCTCTTACCCAGGAGTGGGGAGGAAGGAGAGAAACAGATACTCCAGTGCTTAAACAAACAGAGGAAGAGTGCAAGCATAAAGAGCCAGACATACTAGTGCAATTGGGAACCTACCTTCCAAGAAGTGTCTTGCTAAGTATCTCCATCTCATGTTGTCCTGCAAGTGTTGCAAGTGTTCAAAGCAGCAGCCTGTTTGCCTGCCCATCTCACCGTAACGTACTTGTCTCTGACTTCCAGGGGGGCTAAATAGCTTTCACCCCAGCCGAAGCTGTAGACATAGTGACTTGCAATGTGTTTTGGGGTGGCATCCCACACTGAGAGCACTAAGTTGAGTGGTTTGGACTGAAGAATTATTAACAAAAAACCACGCTAGGACATTGCAGGTGCTGGCAATGTTAAACCACTCTCAGCAGTGATGAGAATGGCCTGGGAAATGAATCAAATAGCAGCCTAACTTTTTAAAAAGAATGTGTGTCATTGATTCCTTGCAAGGTATGCATGCTACAAGAATTAATGGCTTGGTCCAGGTTTTGATGTGCTTGCCCTTTTATGCGCTTGTTGTTCAACATATGCAGAGAGGACTACTTCTGTAACTGTTTGCCGGAACTGTGGTTCAGCACAATCCAGTACAATTCTTTTCCCCATTCTTGATTTCCCCCAAAACTTTAAGCATAAGATATATCATAAATACTTGTGGCTATGAGGCATTCTTAATTACACTGGGCGCATATATTGCTCCAACGGTGAATGTACACACAGGGGCTCGAGACAGAGGAGAGACTTCTGTGTTCCAGTTGGGTAGCAAAGCTCTCATTTGATTTTTCTTAACACTGAACAAGTTGAACAAAGGTGCCTTATAAAGCTTTGTCGTCTTTTTCAAAAACCCTCTCCCCAAGTTGGGATTATGCACTGGGTTTCTTTAAACTGGGTCTTAAAGTGTTCATGTATCACCTTGCTGGCTGAGCAGCAGGCACTTGTGGAGGCTGTGTGTATTTGTTGTGAGCATTATGATTTCAACAATGTGTGGGAAACTTATATATTGGACAATAATGCACCATATCAAAAAAGTTGTTTAGGGTTTGAATGTGTTGGAACAAAAGAAAAAGCAAAGGGTCAAACTGCCAGCTGGTGCAAATTTCCAGTGTATACCACATGAAAGTGTCAGTCAGAGCTTTGGGCGCTTTGACCAGGAATCCTTTCCCTTCTCACTTTCTCACTCACAGTAAGTTGTGCTTGTCCTGCTTGTTGTCAAGCCACTGGGGTGGCTGCATCTTGGGCTGGTGAAATGGCAAGTATGCATGCAGAAGGAGAAGAAAGGGAGGAAATCTGCCCCCCTCGACTTCACGAAGACATTTTTGAGGACTTTGTTTTGCAATTTAAATGTAAAAATGGCTTGGACCCATTTTGGTTTTGCTTTTCAGATCATCATTAATTAGCTTTTCCAGTAAAAAGGAGGGTGGCAGTTTAGCCTGTCTGCCCAGAAGCAGATGGCTGAATGCGGAAATAAAGTGTCCCAGTAGGGAGAGTGTTTCCATATATGCATTTTCAGGTTAGTGTTTAAAACACATTATTTTTTATTCAATAAAGGAAAGTTATGAAATACTAAACAACAATGATAAAATCAAAGGTGAACCAATCCGTGGACAATTCTCTTACTTATGCAGCTTTTATGGAGTTACGGGAGATACAGAAAAGCTATTGTGACTGAAATTGTACCTCACACAATTTGCATTTTCCTTTTAAAGGCAGCCTGAACTTAAATGTGGCTTTTTTAAAAAGGACTAAATGAAACTAAAATAAAAACAATTAATGCATCCTGACCTTCAGAAGTGCCTTCCAGCCCTTTAAACAAAATGCAGGTTCAGTACACGCCTGCCGATTAGTTTTAGTTAATTGAAAATTATAGGATTGACCCAAGAGGAAAATTTTGTTTGCACTCCAATCACTTTTACAAATTAAGGAAAATTACCACAATTTTGTTTAGCTAAGGTTTCACACTGAGTTCACGAAATTAGCTCAGCCATCCCAACAAAGTCAGCACTTTGTTAGTGAGCACTAGAAAAAAACTAATAGTCTATGGTGTGTACAAACGAAGCATAGAAAAAGCTATGATGCTTTAGAGAACTAGGCCAAGTGTTTTTAATTAGGATTATTGGTTCATTGTAAGTTTTGAAGAACAATCAAACTAGCAGATTAGCTGTTTCTTTTAAAGCTAGAATTTCTTGCCATTCATTTTTCCCATGAGAACTTGTTTTAACTCCCACATAGCACTATTTTTTTTCTTTTCTTTTTTTTTTTTTTTTAACAAGGCCTGCAGGAAATGGACCAATTGGAAGTTGGGATACAGTAACATTCCCCAGCATCACTCCAGCCGATGGGATTTTTTCACAATGTTCTTCAGTGAACTCAGTGTTCTGGAACATATTACAAAACCACAGAGGCCAAATGTTTTCTCAGAGGATTTTGGCCTCTGTTTTTGGCCGAAAACATTTCAGCATCACTTGCTGCTTATTTACCCTGCTATTAAGAACAAGAAAAGGAGAGAGGAGAAAAAAGGGGGGGGGGGGGGGGGAAGAGAGAGTGTGTGAGAGAGAGAGAGAAAAAGACCTGGGGTTTGTGGGCGGTGCAGGAGTTGATCAAGCGTAGTTTCCTTTCTGGTGAGAATGTCCCTGCTCGTTAATGGTCCCATTTTGTGGTCAGGTCTCATTTAGAAGAAATTATTTTTAATCAGTGTTCAACAAAATATCCCCTCAAGCCACCTGGCTGTAAACTGTTTTTTTCTTACTGTTAAGTACTTAAGTTCTCAGAAGAAAATACCCAGTGACCCATTAATTTTAGCCTTTTTTTCCCCTTTAACTGCAAATAACTTAGTAACATGATCTCTAAGTAGTCCATGTGCCATCTAGGAATCAAGGTCACATACATACAGAGAAATCCTGGCTTTTGTAAGTATTTTTGAAAGAAATAAACCAGTGTCAATCCCGTGCTTACAAGAAAACATAAGTTTTTTATTTTCCATCTGCAAAGCAAGCCATTAGCATGCACTTATAGAGCAATTATTTCTTAAATTTTAAGCTTTGACATTCCTGAGAGAAGGTTATTAGAAATACAGAAGTCTGAACACATCTTGTATGTGTGTTCATTTTGGAACAGTATTCAAAGTCCATATTGCACCCAGAAATACCCAAACGTGCTGGTCAGTATTTCCCTGTGGCACCTTTCACCTGTAAGTCTCCTCTGGTATTGAAGAGCACTGAATGAATTAAGCTTCATGTCACAACTTAGGAGTCAGATGTGTATCACTACCGTTATTGTAGGACTGGAGAAACTGAGATGAAGGAAGAAGCCATTAGGGATACAAGTCCATAGGTTGTTTGCAAGGGTGACTCAGGGCATATATAGTTGAGTTAAATAAGGGATGAGAATTGGCAAAAATTTGTGATACCCGGACAGACTTTGAGGTTTTGTTTTGTTTCAATTTAAAAAAATGGGTGCATCATGGACAGCATGATTTTCACAGATGAATTTTGCTATGGTACTAAACTGTGAGATTTGAGTGGGACTGCATTGATGTAAGTGAAAGGAGAATTTATCTCACTGCATATTGGGAAGGACATATGGAAGGTCCATAAAAATGCATTATGCTGTGTCTTCTGCCACCTGCTTAGTTTAAGGTTTTGTGCTTTTGTTCCCAAGCTAGAGCAAAGGACTACCTGGGGCCAGAAGTATCTAGCTTTGTCACTCAGGTTATGTATACCACATGGGGTTAATTCAGATTCTTGGCTGAGCAGTACCCCAAATACTGTTCCTTTTTTGGAAAATTGGTTACGTGGTTGGATACAGGTTGGAATTTAGGGACCATTTGCATTTGCATTAATCTTGCAGGGAGGCTGCAGGCTAAACCATTTGTGTGCTGTCGGGGTACCTAGAGAAACAGGCAAGTCCCCCCCAGTTCATTTGGGGTTTATTATATGCTATGGGAGGTGGTATGTCTCTAGAAATGCTACTACCAGGGACGGGTGGATGTAGGGTCAGTGTGGACGGACGGGGCTGGCTGTGCAGCGTGAATAACCCAGATGCTGAGCGCTGATCCTCCAGGATTATTGTGACGAAGGCCGAGTGGGTCAGAGTGGAGCACTGCCGAGACTGACCAGTGTTTGCGTTATGCTTTTGGGCCATTGTGCGTAGAGTGATGTAGAAATGCTAGCACTGTGAAGGTCAGGATATTCACAGAATTTCTGGGAAACCGCCTCTTTCTCTGAAATGTCATAGGGCTTCTCAGAGCACTTTTCACTCCCCTAGTTGCTACAAAGAAGAAATAGCCTCATGTGGAAAAATCCCCGCTCCATCCTCATTTCACCCTTTATTTACTTCCAAAACCATTTGAATCTGAGTACAAACAGGAAGAGCCTTGCACATCACAGATGATTTGGGTAACATTTTCAAAAGCCTTGATTTTAGGTGGCTTCATTTTTAAGTTTTTATCTTTAAATGGTTTAATTTACAGAAGCACAGGGGTAGTTGTCTTCTGAGAATCATTCTTTTTTTCATTTCTTAAGTCAAATACCTCCAAGAGTAAGAGTCCGAAAACTACCCGTCACCATTTAAAATTTCAGTCCATGGCCCTAGATGCAGAGCTTTAAGTCATGTATACAGATCTGGTCAGAACTGGAACTACTTAGAAGGTGATCTCCAGTCCCTAAAGTTTCCAGCCTGGTAAACTTCAGTGATTCCTTTGCTAGGAAAATTTTCTGCTTTCAAGA